CATATAATAACACAGAATCTTATCCGAATATCTCTCAAAGGTGATGCTAGTTAGGCTCGGGCATTGCTATGACCCGTGAAAAGCAGCTTGAACGATGGAAGAGGGGCTGTGGCTCATGGTTCTGAGGGGTTGCTCCATCATGGCTGTGAGAGCATGGTAGGGCTAAACAGTTCTCAGTATGGCAGCCAAGAAGCAGCGAGAAAGGAAACAGGAAGTGGTTGGACATGACCTACATCCAGAGCAGGTCCCCATGAACTCCTTCCTCCAAGGTCCCACCTCCTACACTGTCACCTCCCCTGACAATGTCACCTTCTTATGACTTCAACAACGGATCAGTAATTCCACCGATTAGGTCAGAGATCTCACAGTCTAACAATCCTCTTTGGAGACCCCTCCCGGACGTAGCTAGAGGTACTTATTAACCCAATTAAGTTGGCCATCAAGATTGCCATCACAATACTTAAACACAGTTCCCCACAGCACCAGGGCCAATGTAAACAAGGCCATCTGTGTCCCGACACTCTGGAAGCTGCAGCACCGAGTGGTGGCCCCCGTCGTTACGCCATTAGCGTCGCCTCTCATGCGATTAGCCAGATGTGTTTTTCAAACACGGATAGCACGCCTATCAAGGCTTTGGGTGAGTCAGTGTGAACTCAGATCACGGGATGCTTTGGGCTCAGACAGAAGTGAAGAGTGGAGAAGGGAAAATGAAGCCAAAAGAGATTGGGCAATAGCAAGATCCTATTCAAGAGAAGGAGGGAAGGAGGAAGAGGAGGAACAGAAGAGGCTATTGAAGTGGTAGCCACGCCGTGTGGGACACAGAGACGCTCTTTGAAGCACATTCGCCAAATGCTTCCATACTTCAGCAGTGGCTGGGCCATCTTGTGTGAGCAAAGCTTCCTGAGTCATGTACGGGACAATCCAAAGCCTGTAGAGTGTCCACAGAGTCCTGTGGGCTGCTTGCTTGACCTGCGGGGACAGCGTCTGTGTCCTTAGAAAAGGTATTTCTCTACAAACAGACACCGGACTGCTCTCCTCAGGAACGGAACGGTGCTATTCACACAGAAGTCCGCAGTCAGCTAAGTTTATCCTTGGTGGGGAGGGAACACGGGGCCTGAATGTTCCTCCCACTGGGATAGAGGAGAGTATTCCTACCTGCTGCACAGCAGCTCAGGTCTCGAGGCCTAAGGGGCTGGATTCTCCCTAGGCCTAAACCTAAGCCTTGGGGAAGTCAGTTCCCTCAGTGAGAGGTTGTGTAATGGCAAGGAAGGGGCATCACAGAGGCTCCCAATTAACCTGAACTCTCTCCCTTACAGCCCCAGCCCCAGCAACATGCCTGCCAGTTCCAGTCCAGGAATCCTGATTGCTGTGTCGGTTGTTATGGAAACAGACCACACTACTTCCTGAAGAATTCATTATTCCAACAATCTATTTTTTTCACTCCCCCCTCCCCCAAACGAACGGTTCGTATGCCAGGGACAAGGAGCTCCAAGGAGCAAAGTTGGTGATTAGCAGAGACTTCTAGGAGCAGGAAGTTAAGCCCACCTTGGGTGATGGGAGACCAGCCATCTCCAGTGAAACGGACCAGGAGGCCAGCTCAGGAGACAAGAGGGTGCAGACAGAGCTGGAGTCAAAGAGAGACCTGGGGATGGAGCAGGAAGGACACCGGGCCCAGCTAGTCATCAGGGGCTGTCCATTCTTCAGGAGCCGACGGTACTTGAACACAGGAAGAGTGTTTGGAATATTAGCTCTGTTTCAAGCGTAGACATGAACACGGCCTCCTAGGTGTGGCCAATCTGCAGTTCTACGGCTGCTCTGACTGGTTGTAACCTGCACAATTCAGGAGTCTTCTTTTTCTTGAGACAGGGTTTCCTGTAGCTCAGGCTGTCCACACAGCCCTTTTGTAGTCAAAGGTGACCTCATGGTTTGGGAAGGCCCTTCTGTCTACGTGTTGCTTTTATTGGTTAATGAATAAGGAAACTGCCTTGGCCTGTTGATAGGGCAGAACTTAGGCAGGGAAAATTGGACTGAATGCTGGGAGAAGGAAGGCTGAGAGAGAGACATGCCATGGATCCGCCACCAGAGATAGAGGTGCTGAAACTTTGCTGATAGGCTACGACCTCGTGGCTATATACAGATTAATAGAGATGGGTTAAATTAATATGTAATAGCCAATAAGAAGCTAGGGCTAATGGGTCAAGCAGTGATTTAATTAATACTGTTTTTGTGTGATTATTTCGGGGCTAAGCTAGCCAGGTGGCCGGGAAGGACAGCAGCCCCTCCATCCTACAACCTCCACCTTTTGGTCCTCTCTATCTGCCTTCAGTGTTGGGGGCTGAACCAGGGCCTCGCATGTGCTAGGCAAGCATTCTACCCATTGAGCCAGACCTCCCGCCCACTAACCTTCTGTAGACAGAACCACGTTTGTACCATTGACATCTTGTGGCTCTTACTGAAATTTACCCAAACGGTTCTCACTGTGCCTTCATGTTCTCAGGGACTTCACGACTTCGAACAGACCCGTGGTAATATAGCCATTCTGCTCTTTGTCATGGGGGCATTTGGAACCTGGGCCTTATTTTAACAGATGCCTTAGAAAAAGAGAATCCAATTCCCTGTATCACAGTGGCTTTGTCCCTTCTGTCTAAACAGTGAATTGTTTTATTTTTCCAAGCAGAGCAGTGGCTGACCAATAAGTAGAAAAACAGGAGATGTTGGTCAGATCCAAGAAAGATTCTTGTGTTCAGAGAAAGAGGGTCTGAGGGCTCTTGTGTTCAGTCTCGCTGTCTATGGTTCCACACTGTGTTCTTCGAGTCTCCAAAGGGCACAGGGTCTTGCGACAGGTGAGCCAAGGTCTTCAGTTATGCCACACACAGAGGCAACACTGCATTTCCAAGGCATGAGCTATGAGTTAGAACAATGGGAAAACTGGAAATAATATTGCCAGAGGTGGTAATGACAACCAGAAGCCGGGCTGTATTACGGTTACAAGGTTTTGGGGATCACACTATTAAAACAACATGGTAATGAAGGGTTCCTACTCCAAGCATCTAGATATCTAGATATCAACCTTAAAGGCTCTCTCCTTTCCCCAATTTGGCTTCTAATATAAAATATGAGCAGAGACTAGAATATATTACAGTACAAGGAAGGTCTCATGCCTAGAACACAGCTTGTTAAAGTTTTAGTAAGCCATACGCAGGACCAATTTTCCACTGGAATCAAGATATCCAGTGAAGGCTAAGAAATACACTTTTACTTCCTAAGAAAAATACAAAACAAGAACGGAAGAACTGAGCTAAGGACCACCAGAGGCCAACAAAGGAGCCCCAGCAAGACTGAATTCCGTCGTTCTCATGAACTCTCATGGGCACATGCTGTCCTCAGCTAGAGTTTCCCTTCTGCCATCTCCCATGAGGCCCCTCACCAGCTCCCAGTTCTAGGTCAGCATGGCCTCCTCAGGGAAGCTGGCCTGGCCCCCTCACCCACTTGACCAGAGTACTCTCTTGTTCTTCTTTTTAACTCTTTAGTCACACTTCTCAGGGGATGTGATCCGTTAATTGCTCTCTTCCTTACGATGGGGTGTCTCGCTCCATCGCGGCCACAGCCCCCCTCAAATAGTTCGTGTGTGAGAGGCCAGGAGCTCAGATGACAGCTCAGGTAGCTTTGTGATGAGGGTGAGAGCCTGGCACAAGGAGATGTAGTCCCAGACCCTTGTCTCCAGACTGCCACCAGGCTAGCTCCCAGCTTCTCTGGGCTTCATTCTCCCCACCGACAGTGAGGGAGATTTACCCCATAGGTTCACAAAGTGGTGGGTGTCCTAAGGTCAGCACACAGTTGATCCGGTTGTATTTCCCTGGGAATAACACCATTGTTTTCCCATTCCTGAAGAAGTAGGGAAACTTTCACTATTTGGAAATATAGAAAGATACTTTTGTGGAAAATGGACAAGGAGTGAGTACTTGCTAGTATATGTATATATATGATATATAATGATATATATCATATATAATACTATATATATACTTGGATAACAAACAAGAAAGTGTACCTTTTGGGAGGCATTCTGACGACCTGACATGTTTTCACATGTGTTGGAGAGGGCTGGGATTGAACCCAAGACCTTGAACGTCATTGTCAAGAGCTCTTGTCGCTAAGCCACATCTCCTTCCCAACCTTTTAAACTTTTGCATAACTGGTTCCTTCCTGTCCACAAGTAAAGTTAATCTCTACCCCATAATCTTGGCTAAGTCCCATAACTTTCCTGAGTGTCGACTTTCTAGTCTGAATAACTGAGATGGAACAGGGCTGGGTCACCCAGCTATGTCATGGCTCGAGGATTATCTGCGGTGACCTGGAGAATGGCAGGTGCACAGAAGGAGTTAATCTTATGACATTTTATCCAACAAGTAGCTAGAAAGTATCACTCTACTAGGACATTAGGACATTGAAGAAATGAGTTTTTGGTGTGTGTGTGTGTGTGTGTGTGTGTGTGTGTGTGTGCTATTGGGGACCAAATCCAAGGCTTCACACATACTAGGCAAGTGCTCTAGTCTTGGGCTGCACACCCAGCCCCAAACTAGACCATTTTTTTTTTACTGTGCAGAATATAGTGTGTGGCAAGGGAGGAATATTTTCATATGTGGTCACCATGCATTTAGTTTTAATAGAGGGTTGGTAGTCAAATAGCAAAAGTGAGTGTTGGACTTTAGCACACAGCAGCCCCTTGGCCTTGTATTTCACTCCACTGCTACAGAGCTGAGCTCTGGCGCTGAGATTCCTACAACCCCGCCTTTTCTATGCTGAAAAGCGACAACGCAAAAAAAAAAAAGTTTAAATTGCATATTTATGCATGAACCATCTGGAAACCTCAGGGGTATTATTTTGGTCAAAAGAAGAACATGAATTCAAAGCAGGATAGAATGAGAGATGAATATAATTTTTCTGCTGTTACAATATTATTAGCAACTGTATTAGCAAAGTTGAGAGCTATTACTCACCCATCAGGAAGATAATTTTACATTTCCTCAAATCCTCCATTAAGCCTATAAAAGAAGAATAATTTAAATTATCGACAAGAAATACCGCACTGACGCCCTGGTCCTACCCATGCTCTACAGAGCTGAGCCCACAGGAATAAATAAGTTATGACCACCGGGGGTAGTGAGTGTGGAGGCTTCCCCCCACCCAGGATTTTAATTTAATATAGATCTTTAATTCGAAGTGTAAAACTGATACCATCAAATAGTGTGACTCACATGGAAAGCCAACTTTTTGTCTGTTTCTTTTTGGTGTGAGGATTTGCTTGTTTTTGAGACAGGGTCTCCCTGTGTGTCCCAAGCTGGCCTCAAACTCAGCTGAACTTCAAGCCCTTCCTTCTTTTGCCTCAGCTCCCTGAGTGCTGGGATTACAGGTGTGCACTATGCCTGGATATAAAACCAATCTTAAACTTTATATTTAGGTTGTTTTTTTTGTTTTGTTTTGGTTTTTTTTTTTTTAAGATTTATTTATTATGCATACAACTTTCTGCCTCCATTTATACCCACATGCCAGAGGATGGCGCCAGATCTCTTTACAGATGGTTTGGAGCCACCATGTGGTTGCTGGGAATTGAACTCAGGACCTCTGGAAGAGCAGACAGTGCTCTTAACCACTGAGCCATCTCTCCAGCCCCTGTTTTTTTTTTTTTTTTTTTTTTTTTTTTTTTTTTTTTTTTTTATCTCGGTTTGTTCTTTACTTTAAGATGTAGGACTTCTATTTTTTAAGGGTTTCATATGTGCACACAGAGCATGTGATTGTATCCATTCCCACTCCCCTGCTCCTTCTAGATCCATCCCACCCGGATCCCGTATTTCACATTTGCAACCACCCTGTTTAAAAAAGGAGAAATTAATATACAAGATGTCTAGAAGACAAAAATAGTTTATGGCTATCGTAGACAATGCCACTTTCTGTTTTAAGTTGTGTTGTAAGGTTTTCTTTAAAATATCAATCTTTATTCATCGTGAGTCAGCGTGTAGAGCAGGACCAAACAAGAAGTTAACAGAACCAGTAGTACAGAACAATAACCATGGCAGAGGAAACAAGCTCTGAATCTGGGGAACCACTGCTGGGGGAAACGATTCGAGGTAAGGAAAACCGTGAGAGCATCCGGAGTCAGTGGGACCCTAATGACTTCGCATTGCCGAGGGTTGGAATGGGAACTTCAGGGCACGTGGGTAGGTGCCGCATTGCTGGTCCCACAAACAACAGGCTTGACCTACACAGGGGAGGGGTGTGGGGTGCTGGGGGGACGGGGAGAGAGACCGTGATTGTGCATTTAGGGTGTGGGACTGAAGGTTTCACACACGCTAGGTAAAGAGTCAACTGCTGAGCTATATCCCCAGCCCTTAAAATCTATTATTATATTTACTTTATATATTTTCCTGCTTCTATGTTTGTGCACCACACACGTGCACGGTGCCCACAGAAGCCAGAAAAGGCCATCAGATCTCCCGAAACTGGAGTTATTGATGGCTGTTAGCTTCCACGTGGATGCTGGGAGCTGAACCCAGGTTCTCTGGAAAAGCAGCTAGGGCAGAGTCATTCTCCAGCCTATCCCGGTCCTTTAGTTTTTTTTTTTTTTTTTTTTTAACTTTTTAATATGGGGTGGGGTTTTACTAAGCAATGCATGTCAGCCTTGAATTCACCTTGTAGCCCAGGCTGGCCCTGAACTTTGAGTATTCTGCTTGGCCCCCTGAACAGCTGGGATTACAGGTCTCTGCCGTGGTCCAGTTGGTGTCTGGAATTTTTCATGAAGTCAGATACAGAGCATCTCTAACGTGTTCGACAGCATCCCAGCTTCCCTGAGCATCTTTGAATGTATTTGCAGTTTAGGAAGGTGGCCACATTTACTGTGGTTATTTTCTTTGTTTTCAGGAGAGCTGATGTGGCTACACCCTATTTCAGTTTAAAAATTACTTTTTAGTTGAAAATCATGTATTCATACAACGTAGTAATTACTAAGTTGTATGATAATTTTCAGTGACTTGAGAGCATGCTTATATAACAATATGTTAAAAATGTGGCCATATTTATACACACACATAGATTCTCAACGGGGTAAAAATAGGGCGAAGACAACGTACTCAAGCGAGGCATGCGAGAATGTTAGGCACAAATGCCATTGGTCCTAGAGTTTTAGGTGGTTCTAGCTTTCTGCCTTAAAATGCTTCTGCAGTGAGTGCTCTGATGCTCTGTAACCAGGGATAAAGGAAAGTTTGTGCGGCAGCTGTCTATCCAACGTGCAGCGGAGAGAGAGTTGGCTGTGGGCGGGGCCAGGTGACGGCTCTGTTACAGCTCAACTCTGGGCCTTCCCTGATGACTGCCACAATCATTTGGCGACGTATTTTCACACAACTGCTGTTTCTATTCTTATCGAATAACACTTTCTCTAGCCCTTCGTGGATCAATGGGGGTTAGGGCTGGGTTAATTTAAAAAGCCAAATCACTTGTGTGAGTTACAGCCAATACTATAAATCGATTTCTATAAACTGTGGTGACATTCTTTCAAGTAGATAGGACAGAATGTGTTAACCTACGCAATTATGAAGCTCGTCTTTTATAAACACTATTAAATTCGCAGCATTTGATCTCGTTTCATTCCATATACAGCTAGCATGGAGTGGCTATTTTAGTTTTAAAGTGACCATTTTTGAGATGTTGTCTCACGTATCCCAGGCTAGCCTTAAACTTACTATGTAGCTGAGGAGAATCTTGAACTTGAATTCCTTCTGTCTCCACCTGTTAAGTACTGGGGTTACAGGTGTGGCCATCACATTAGGTTATGAGAGCCTGGACACTGAATCCAGCTACGAGCATGTTAGACAAGCACTCCTGTCCTTTGAGAAACTTTTAACACGATAAAAATGACCAAGTGGTATTACTTCAGGATGGGGGTTGGGCTGGCTCCCAATGGGTACTGTAGCGCAGTAACTGCTATTATGGAAAAGAAATTCTGTTTCCAACTCAATTAGCAAAAATTGCACCTCCAGTAAGCCCCATTGGCTGTTTCTGCCACTGTGAAGATTTTATGTTTCAATTACGTGTGAAGAATAATGAGCTGAAGAATGCTACTCTCTACTGTGTGACTTTGCTACTCTGTAACACCCAGTGGGGATGGGACAGAGAGTGTGGCCCAAACATCTTGACCACTTCTCACTGTCCTCCTTGAGAGTCATGTTCTCTGGGCAGCTGGGCAGTGTATCTTTTAGTAATGATTCCTTTAGGCTCCTTGTGTGGACCAACAAGTTGGCAAGCCATAGATTCCCAGGATAACTCATGTTAACTGGTCAGGGGGAAATGCTCTGTTTTTAATCTTAGCTGGTATTAAACAAAGACAGCATATTTGAAGCTAGCTATGTGTTCTGGTTAGGGAAGGAAACTCACCTCCTGCGGTGTCCTCTCCAAACACATTTAGTTCATCATCGCCCTGTTTTGAAAATAATCATAGCATTAGATGGGAGCATTAGTAGACACGTTTAAGCTCCTTGTTAAAGATTAAAGCCGGACATTTGAAACAACTCCATTAAGGGAAGAACGTCTAAACACTTGTAAAGACGAGTAACAGAGTTTCAGGCGTTACATTGTTGATCTGTTAGCAACCCGTACAGAATTCAGTCTCTCTTTTTTGGTGCATAAATTATGTATAGACAGAAGAGCTGGCTTCAAGACAACAAAATTCTTCAGTGTTAGAAGCTAACAGATAGGTAAGGTCACAGCTGTGTTATGAACACCCCCTAATTTAAGGTCCATGTTGGCAAATTTTTCAGCCAAGGCCAAGCAGTAAGCATTTTTGATGTGAGCCTCATGTTTCTGGCCACAGTTACAGTTTGTTAGTTCTATGGGTAAAATGAGGAAAGATCAAGTGACCGTTCTTTTCCGTCATGTTTATATGTAAAACTCTCATTCCCCTTTGGTGAGGTCACTGTTTTCCTTCTAGAGCAGCGTGGTGTATCTGGGGGGTAGGTTTATGAAGAGTCAGCGCTGAGAACTCCCATCACCATCTACCTCGTTCCCATCTTGTTTTCCTACTTCCTTACCCACAGGTTACCACGTGTTCTAACCGTCAGCTCGACACAGCCTAGAATCATCTCTGGAAAGAGTCTTTTTTAAAAATATATTTATTTATTTATTATGTATACCATGTTCCTCCTGCATGTACAACTCCAGGCCAGAAGAGGGCATCAGACCTCATTACAGATAATTGTGAGCTACCATGTGGTTCCTGGGAATTGAACTCAGGACCTCTGGAAGAGCAGCCAGTGCTGGATGTTTGCCTTCTCAATGGTGGACTTAAGCTGAAAAAACCCTTTCCTCTCCGAAGTTGCTGTTAGTCAGGGCATTTTATCATAACAACAGAAACAATGCTAGAACACCACATCTAGATGTTTCTACCCAGGTACATGAAAAAGTGACTTCCAGATATCCAAGAATTTAAATATGTGTGTGTGTCAGTGTGTGTGTATGTGTGTAAGCGTGTGTGTATGCATGTGTGTAAGCATGTGTATGCATGTGTCCGTGTGTATGCATGTGTGTAAGTGTGTGTGTGAGTAAGTGTGTGTGTATATGTGTAAGCATGTGTGTGCGTGTGTCTCAGTGTGTGCATGTGTGTAAGCATGTGTATGCATGTGTCAGTGTGTGTATGCATGTGCATGTATGCATGTGTGTGTAAGCATGTGTAAATGCGTGTGTATGAGTCTAAGTGTGTGTATGCATGTGTGTGTCAGTGTGCACTGCTCTTCTATTTTTGCAGTGTATCCTGGAGAAATTTCTGTTAATACAGGACGTTCTCAGCATAGTATTCTTGGCTGCACAGTATCTACTGTGAGACTGGGAACATAATTAATTTTTAATCTTCTCTTTATTGATGAGCAGAGCTGTTCTCAGTCTGGCTGATTTAGGGAAGGTGGCTCAGTGAATAAATCCATATAAAACCACTTCACACAAACATTCCTTCGGGGCAAGTTCAGGATTCCAAGTTTGTGTTCATAGATTAAATGTATTTACAATTTTGATAGATTATCTTTTCTTTTGCCAAGCTGGTCTCTGGAGAGGTTACCGTGTTCTGCAAGGACAGCATCCATGACACTTTCCCCAGACTTTTGCCTTTAATTCTCTTTGATGTCAGAGTCAGTTCCATGAGGTCACCTGGTTACACGGACTCCGAGGCAACGTGCAGAGAAAGCACTTTGCCTAAGTACAGGGCCTTGCCACTTCGGGAGAGTCTGAGCCTCCGGGCAGCTCTACTGCTTGTCTTCCTGGATTTGCCCTTGTCTCTGGAGCTGCTTCTGTGACACAGGATGCTAAGTGGAGTGGTCATTCAGGGACACGTTCACACTACTTAATCCTCCCTGAGAGTGGACAGCCTTGTCATGTTTCTGATTTTAGTGAAATCACACTGAATTTCTCTCTAATTTGATGTTTGCTGATGGCTTGCTGTATATTACTTTTATTATATTTAGATATGTTCCTTATATCCCTGATCTTTCCAAGACCTTTATCATGAAGGGGTGTTGAATTTTTTCAAATGCTTTTTCAGCATATAATGAAATGATCATATGGTTTTTCCTTTCAGTTTATTTATATGATGGATTACATTGGTAGATTTTCGTATGTTGAACCAGCTCTGCATCTCTAAAACGAAGCCGACTTGATCATGCTGGATGATTCTTTTGATGTGTTCTTGGATTCAGTTTGCCAGTATTTTATTGAGTATTTTTGCATCCATGTTCATGAGTGAGATTGGTATGTAATTCTCTTTCTTGGTTGAGTCTTTGTGTGTTTTGGTATCAGGGTAACTATAGTCTCATAAAAAGAGTTTGACAATGTCCCTTCTGTTTCTTTTGTGTGGAACACTTTGAGGACTATAGGTATTAGCTCTTCTTGGAAGTTCTGGTAGAATTCTGCACTAAAACCATCCAGCCCTGGGCTTTTTTTGGTTGGGAGGTTTTTGATGACAGCTTCTATTTTCTTGCAGTTTATAGGTCTATTTAAATTGTTCACCTGATCTCGATTTAATTTTGGTATATGGTATCTATCTAAAAAATTGTCCATTCCTTTTACATTTTCCAATTTCGTGGAGTACAGGTTTCTGTAGCATGATCTAATGATTCTCTGAATTTCCTCAGTGTCCGCTGTTATTTCCCCCTTTTCATTTCTGATTTTGTTAATTTGGATGTTCTCTCTCTGTCTTTTGAATAGTTTGGATAAGGGTTTGTCAATCTTGTTGATTTTCTCAAAGAACCAGCTCTTTGCTTCATTGATTCTTTGTATTGTTTTCTTTGTTTCTATTTTGTTGACTTCAGCACTCAATTTGGTTATTTTCTGTCTTCTACTCTTCCTGGGTGAGTCTGCTTCTTTTGGATGGGGTACAGAACTAAACAGAGAATTCTCAACAGAAGAATCTCAAATGGCCAAAAGATACTTAACATCCTTAGCCATCAGGGAAATGCAAATCAAAACAACTCTGAGATATCATCTTACACCTGTTAGAATGGCTAAGATCTAAAACACCAATGATAGCTTATGCTGGAGAGGATGTGGAGTAAGAGGAACACTCATCCATTGCTGGTGGGGATGCAAACTTGTACAACCACTTTGGAAATCATTATGGCAGTTTATCAGAAAATTGGGGATCAACCTACCTCAGCAATACTACTCTTGGGCATACACTCAAAAGATGCTCAATCATACTACAAAGGCATTTGTTCAACTATGTTCATAGCAGCATTATTTGTCATAGCCAGAACCTGGAAACAACTTAGATGCCCCTCAACCGAAGAATGGATAAAGAAAATGTGGCACATTTAGACATTAGAGTACTACTCAGCGGTAAAAAGCAACGATACCTTGAATTTTACATGTAAATGGATGGAATTAGAAAACACTATCTTGAGTGAGGTAACCCAGACCCCAAAAGATGAATATGGTATGTACTCACTTATAAGTGGATACTAGCTATTAAACAAAGAACATTGAGCCTATAGTTCATGATCCTAGAGAAGCTAAGTAATAAGGTGAACCCAAAGAAAAACATATATAGATCCTCCTGGAAATCTGAAACAGGCAAGATTACCTGACAAAATTGGGAGCATGGGGGTGGGGGGAGAAAGGAAGGTAGAAAAGAAGAGGAGTGGAGAAGGGGAAGGTTAAGGAGAACTTGAAGGGAATGGGATAGTTGAGATGGAGGAAGGACAGAAATGAGAGCAAGGAAAGAGATATCTTGATTGAGGGAGCCATTATAGGGTTAGCAGAAACCTGGATCTAGAGAAATTCTCAGGAATCCACAAGGCTGACTCCAATTAAGACCCTAAGCAATAGAGGAGAGGAGGCCTGATCTTAATTTGTCCTGTAATTAGACTGATGATTATCTTTTTTTTAAAGATTTATTTATTTATTTTGTTTACAGTGTTCTGTCTGCATGTGTGCCTGCAGGCCAGAAGAGGGCACCAGATTTCATTACAGATGGTTGTGAGCCACCATGTGATTGCTGGGAATTGAACTCAGGACCTCTGGAAGAACAATCAGTGTTCTTAACCTCTGAGCCATCTCCAGCCCCCAACTGATGATTATCTTAAATATTACCATAGAACCTTCATCCAGCAACTGATGGAAACAAAGGCAGAGACCCACATTGGAGCACTGGACTGAGCTGCCAAAGTCCAGTTGAAGAGTGGGAGGAGTGAGAATATGAGCAAAGAGGTCAGACCATGAAGGGTTCATCCACTAAAACAGTCTACCTGAGCTAACGGGAGCTCACCAACTCCAGCCAGACTGGGAAGGAACAAGCATAGAACCAAACTAATCCCTCTGAATGTGGTTGACAGTTACATGGCTGGGGCAGACTGAGGGGCCATTGGTAGTGGCACCAGGATTTATCCCTACTGCATGTACTGGCTTTCTGGGAACCTATTCTCTTTGGATGGATACCTTGTTCAGCCTAGATATAGTAGGGAGGGCCTTGGACCTTCCACAAAGCAATGTGCCTTATCCTCTCTGAGGATTGGAGGCGGGTGAGGTAGGGTATGTGGAGGGATGGGAGGAGAGGAGGGAGTAGGATCTTGGATTGGTATTTTTAAAAAATGTAATAAATTTAAAAAAAAGAAAGAAAAAGACGCTAGAGACCTCTGGAGGTACAGTCTTGACTCTTCCCATGCTAAGTACGTTTTACATGAAGGTGCTAATTTGGGGGTATCGGCTGGACAAGGAGGGAAGGTACAGTCTCATTCTGGACCATCTGCTGTGTTATTTATGGTCAGTTGCACTGAGGTTTCAGCCCCACTGAAGTGAGACTTGAGAAATCCCACTGCTCTAACCACCAAAATTCTCCTGAGTGCTATGGATGCTTCTTTGGGTCAATGTCTTTTACTGTGTTCATTCCATACAGCCGGCCTTTTGTCATTTTGAGTCTGCATCGAGGAGCTGGACTTT